CAGGTAGGCGGCTATGGCTGCTTCACGGCTGCTGAAACCTCAGGTGCCGCTGTAGGTCTTCAGCGCTGTTCACTTAGTTGGCCGAAAAACGCTGCGCGCGAAAAAATGAAATGCCAAAAGTCCCCAATCGATTTTTTAGGACTTATAGACTCTCTACTCTAGCCTAGACCTAGACCGAACTAACTGGACCTACCGGTACCGTTGCTGATTCGGCCTCTCGGCCTCTACCGGACCCGGCTATAGGCTATAGGACCGTATAGCAGTATAGGTCGCTTAGGGCCTGTCTGTCCTAGGGTAGCCTGGGCCTGCTATAGGCAGGTAGGGTAGCTGTAGGAACTCGATTAGTACCAGGTCTGTATTTTTCAGAAATTACAGATCTGTCCCTCACGAATTTCCACACAGGCGGATCTCTCGGTTAGCCCTCAGCCAAACAAAATTACAAAACTAACCCTACAGGTACAGCCTCGCAGTCAAACTCGGCAGCAGAGATCAGCAAGTCATTGCAACTGTGAGAAATTAATCATGATGATAGTAACTTCATACTCTTGTAAAAAGGACAAAATTACCCGTCCAGACCACTTCTACGCAGTTCTAGGGAGTAAATCATGCTCTGTTAAGTTAAGGGTTGTTTGTTTTGGGGGGGGGTCCAGCCAGGGGAGAATTGACCTTTTGTAATTGCTCAGGGGTCCTAGCCTGTTTTACGCCTTTCAGGATGTGCAAGAGTTGTTGTTGTTGTTGTTGTTGTTGTTGTTGTCGTCATCATCGTCGGCTTCGCTGTTTTGGTGGTTGTCGTTTTCGTTGTTGTGAACGGGAGAGTTATAATAGGCTGTGAAGTTGGCGCCTTGGTTTTGTGTGGATCATTATTTGATTCCATTTCTCGAAAATATGAAAGATATTAAAAATGATGGAGCACACACCAGTCGTCCAGTTTTTCCCTCCTCTTTTTTCCCATCTCTCTTGCTCTCCTCTGTTGCCCTCCTTTCCCACCTTCACTAGCTCTCTGTTCTTCCTCGTCCTCCTCCTCCATGACCTCCTTGTCGTCATCCTCCTCACTTCCTATCTTGCCCTTCTCTGTTTTTTTTTTAAACATATGTAATATTATATATCCTCCTCCCTCGTATATACATACATATATATATCCTCTTCTCCCTCTCTGCCTACGGTTTACCGGGCGGTTCTGTTTGAGGATATGTAGTCGTTGATGCTTCAACCACCAGTACTTCCTAAAGTCGTGCTTGTTAACAAGCCAGGACTTTGGGAAACGTACGGGCCACTACAGGAGCACCCAAATTCATTCGACTAGAAACACTTCCACTCTTATTTTTTTCCACAACCAATCTCTTGGCCAAGTACCGGTGGTTTAACCACAATCGGGTTTAAGGTGGATTATCACTTACAGTGTAATCAATTAGGGGATTCTGCAGACTGTTGAGGGTTCAGCCTCCTCATGAGTAGGTGGAACTCCGACGAAACAGTTTGTCACAGCCCGTCGTTTGTTGTCCTCTTCTCCCTCTCTGTCGATGGTTTATCGGTCAGTTCTGTTTGACAGTATGTATCTATATATCTCTCCCTGTATAAATATAGCCCGGCTGGTTTTGTCCCGTTGTTCGGTCGATTTCACGAGCATAGCGGTGCTTCATGTGGGACCAGTCGTCCGGGTTTTTTTTATTGTCTTGGCATCCTGGTTGGTTGTTTCCCGTTGTTCGGTCTGCATGAGGGCGGTGCTTTATGTGGGAATCGTCATCCGGGAGTGCCTTTTATACCGGTCCTCCGGGCTCTTTTTGGTATCCTAGTTGGTTGCTTCCCGTTGTTCGGCCTGTCAATGGGGACGGTGCTTTTATGTGGGAATCATCATCTAGGATTGTTTTTTATGATGTCCCGGTACGAATCGCT